CATGTTTTGCTTGGGCAGCAAATCTCTCAGTAGCAGTATGGCACTCCACAAGGGAAACCAGCTTATTCACACTCAGGGGTATGTACTGTATCTCAACAGGCAAAGTTTTGGTGTAACTGTTGCCGACTATTTGCACCACCATCCGGCTTGAGCACCTCTAGATGCAACCACGTGTTTGTGAGGTGAAACAAATCATATATCTGTGATATTGTGGGCTTCACAGTCATATTCCCATGCAATTGAATGCTGCACTTGAATAGCCATGGTAACACAGAGCCTGGACTTCTTTAAGTTTAGAATACTCTGACATCTTGGGGTTGATTTACTAACCTTATAAACAGACCACGAACATGTATACACCTCTGTAGTGTGTTCCCTCCCAGCATGATCTATGGGTGGAATCTAAACACCTTTGTAGTGTGTACATACCCAGCAGGTGTGTTGTGCAAAGCCCTGCATGAATTTGCAAGGTGATGTTGTGTAAATTAGCTCTATGTTGTGTTGCTTGCGTTGATGAATGCAGGAATGTAAATGCATGAGCTAACCATTTTTGTCTAAACTGTGAAGCAGCATTATATATGCATCGTGTGCATGATTTTTCCATATATGGCATTAGTGGAAATATGCTTTTAGAGACTTTTTGGTTGATAAATACGTTTTGCTGTGTAAAAATCACACACACCTGGTGCGTGCGTGTGTTTAGGTTAGTAAATCACCCCCCTTGATTTTGTAGGGCTCCAAGTAGGCCTTAAGCCTTCCACGTAAAAAGGACAATTGCCTGCAAGGACAATTTCTGCAAAGCGCTCTGTACCAGTTGTAGAAGTCAGCCACTGCACCACCATCTGTTGCTGTAGAGACAGGTTCTCTTGCTGCAGCTGCTTTAAGGAGGCCTGGTGGGCTCAAGTTAGCTGTCACATCTGCTAGGCAGTTAATTTTTTGCTGCTTAGCATTTGCCAATATGAGCTTATTCAAGCGCCTCTATTTTTGTTTCATAGGTATCCGTCTCTTCAAGGCAGTGCTCTGATGCAGGCAGCACCCAATGTGGATGGTGACTCATTTACACTGTCCAAAACCCTGCCAGCGCCTCACAATATTCATACACAGACAGAAGACAATTACACTACAAAAATAGCACCCAGGTCTCAAACACAATTAATATTACCATTTATTAAAGACATTAAAATATGCATTTCTGATTATACAGTTTATGACATGTATTGTGCAAAAGTAGTAGAATCACTTGGTTGAATGGTAAATAACATGCTGCTGCAAACTAGAACACATTTATGCCCATTAGAGACAGAGGTAGAATGGCTGTATGCAAATGCATGGATCCTGAAGTTTTACATTAAGGCCATTTGTGTTTTTTTCTAAAGAGGCAGTGATTATACATGCAGTCCATACATTGACAGAAAGATCTGTAGGTTTGTGTAAGGCACTTACAACAGCAGGGTGAATATAAAACCCAAATATACAAACTGCAGAGGTAGTCAGACATACAGTATGTGTTATAATAAACTATCACCATTAGCCGTAGAAGAATGCATCCTATCAAAGACAGATAGCTGGCCACTGATTTTTTTTTTCCCTCCTGATGACATTTAACCCCTTCATGACTGAGGCCCTTTTTTCATTTTTTGCACCCATGTTATATTCCACATTGTAGGCCTGAAAATGACGTAAAACCCCCCAACATTATATATTTTCTGAATGCCAAGACCCTATAGAATAATAATTTGTTGTAGTTCTATGCTTACTAAATGATCGACTTCATTAAATTAGGAGAACCATCTCTTACATGTGGTGTACCACAGCAGGCTACAAGAATTAAATTTTGTCCTCACTTGTATTATTCACAATGAATTATGAGAGAAAGAGAGACACATTTAGGCTAAAATAGGAGGTTTCAAGTGGATTGTAACTCTAACAGAGTGTGAGTGTGTGATAGAGATATATATATATATATATCTCTATGAATAAAGTAAGTAATATGCTCCTGTGATGGACTCTTCTTCTTCTAGCGGATGTTTCTTATTACAACATACAACTGAATATTCCTATTCAGTTACAATTAAAAAAATAAAAATCTCTAGGAGATTTTTTTTTTTTAAATTACTTTTTACTATGAATAGTAGACAACTCTAGGCAACTGCACAACCTATTTGATCCTTATATAGACCCCCCTGCATCCCCAGAATTTGTGATGCAAGTACCAGCCAGTTTCTTAGGTCTGTTCCCACCTTCTCCTGCCCTTTGACACTTAGCCCTTGGATAGTGTGATGTGCCAACCATATGGTGCATGAAATTACCTCAAAGCCAGTGACCAGGAAGCTGGCGTACTAGCACCCTGCATTTCTGGGATACAGGGGCACCACATTGAGAGAAGATGCAGCATGCAGGCATCTGGAGGTTCACATAAATCATTGTATATGCAAAGTAACTGGCGCCACTGGCTATTCGTATCCATTTCTAAACAATCCAAAATCTTCACAAATCAATGCAAATGAAAAAAAAAAAACCACACAAGGATGACACCTTGTCTTTGTGCATTACATTTATTAATATAAATAGCAGCCCAATCAGCACCCACAGCTACAATAACATGTCACTGGATCTGCCAGCTATGGTTCTTCCTAACGCTTTCCAGGGGGGCGTACCCCTCTTCCCATAATTAGCAGGCCCGGTGACATGGAATTGTAGTTGTGGGTGCCAATTAGGCTGCTCTAACATCTGGTGTATAAGGGTTATCTGTGATGTGTAGACTTGGTTTACTACATGCAGATGACTCTACTGGCTTTGTGAGAAACATAGCTATTATTTATATTAACAAATAACATTTTTCACAGGCATCTGGAGGGGTCTTTCTGTCAATTTTTTAACTGCTATAAACCCCCCCCCCCCCCTCCACAGTTACACCTCATTAGTACTTTTTAATTGTAATATAATTTCAAATATCAGCAGCTACTTTGAATTTGTAATTCAAAGTGGGGTATTATGCAATTAAGTAGCAATATTTTCGATACTTTGCTCAACTTGACACAGCAAAATAAATGTAAACTTCTTCTGATTGTACAGAAATTGTACAGAAATTATTCATGCCCCGTATGCAGCAAAAACCTAACCCATTTTGGAAGTAGCGATCCCTGTACCCTCATTACAGCTAACCCGAAAAGAAATGAGCACGTCTGCAACATGAGACTAAAAATCAAGTCTTAGATGTGGAATTTTAATAGCAAAAAAATATTTGCAGAAATGGCACTTACAGTTTTATATGTGTAATGTTGTAGCTATGACTCATTCTTAAAGCCAGGTTGATGATCATAGCAAACATAATCAAGGCAATGTCTATGATTTTAGTCCAGTATCTTTTTGTGTGAAAAATACACACCTTTTTATATATTCCAAACATCAGGTAGATTAAGGTGTTCAGGCTCTAAAGTCTACAAGAAATCATCCATGTTTTTAAATCTTAAATTCACAGTCTGTTTATATTTGGGTTTTCCGATGTCCTAAAATGTTTTGGGGAGATGCTGCCAGGCCACCCAACAATGCCTTATGTCTCTTGGGGACTAGGGAGTTATCTGCAATTAAGTTCTTGAGTGTACACAACTACTATGGCCATTTTGAGGAGGTCAAAATGTCCCTACTATATTTATTTTATATTATGGAGAATGAAGAGGTGGTGGAACAAGAAAAAGTGAGTAGAAACTGTCAAACCTCAAAAAAGGCAGACGACAGGAAGAGTCAGAATTATGACAAGCACATCTTGCTGGCATATGCAAGAAATGAGAAGCCATGGGGCCCATCTATGCTCAAGCTATAACAAATATGTAGTTTGACAGACCCGTCGACAAAAATTTAACCTTGAAAATTCCTTTACATAATGAACACAATTCCCTTTAAATATTAAATGAAGGTACCAAAATGCAATGCATCAATAGAAAAAAAACAAAACTAAGAGGAAAGTACCTAAATATTGTCATGCCAATGCCAGCGGTTACATTCAGCAAAGTAATTCAAGCTTCAATGGCACTGAGGCTAGAATTTTGTTCCTTTTTGTAAGAAATTAACTAGTCCACACAAGCTACAAAATTACAAAGGTCACCCGACAGACACCCATAGTTACCTTTTCCAACCCCCCTCCCCCCAAAAAAAAAATTGTGCTGTGTGTCAGAAATCATTACATACCATAACCCTGTTTTAAATTAAAAAACCCTATATTGTGCTAACAGAGTTGTTTATATGTAAAACATTCAAAATGCCTCAAGTAAATCAGAGATAGGAGATGACAGGGCATAGGAATGTCAGCAATAATCTATTCTAATCACACTTTTTTTTTTAAAGAAATGTATATATATAATTCTCATACCCTTAAGTAAATGATCCTATTTGGCATTGTAGATTTTATTTGCAAGGCTTTTATTGTTTTGCTCTACATGTATAAGAATTTTTTTAACCTGTCATTCGGTACTTGAATTAATAGACAATGAAAAGCAAAGAAACTATTGGCCACAAGGTCATACTCACCAGACAAAAAAAGTGATCAACTGCCTTTAAGAATTTTATGAACTAGTCAAGTGATCATTCTTGTCCAGTCCCAAAATTCCAAAGCACTGAAAGCTGGCATATACTAAATTCTACGCCATTATTTAAAGTTTAAACCGATAAAGTCAACCTCTACCCAGAAGGACATTTTGTTTTTCTTTATTTTGGCATTTAAAAAGCTGTACGAAAAAGTAGTTTATTGAAAAACTAAAAACACCTGATTTAGTACACTGCTCAATCATATTAATATTATTTGCATTGAAAAAATGCTCTTAAATTTGTCTCTTCCCTTAACTTACAGTACTTTTGGCAGTAGTGGGACAAATTTGACAACTTTGCCTAGAGGATAAAACAATATTTTTCAAAACCGAAAAACACATCGTCAGTGGTATAAAATCAAATCCTCATTTTTGTGTTTCTTTATCCCCCTAGCGGGTCTGCGGAGTTTTACCATACATAGACCTTTGTCAGTGTTTTTGATGGCAAGTGATTTGGTCTTCTGATTGTTCCAGCATGTCCAGGATAGTATTTATAATGATCTGTAAAGCACGGCCCAGTTGTGAAGCTGTATACGGCTTTCCTAGAGGAGGCACATGGATGAACACAGATTTGCCCTGGCTCTTGTACAAAGAGGTATAGTACGTGAAGTCACACAGATATCTATGGGAAAAAAACAACAACAAAAACAGCAAATTACAAAAATAGAGCACATCTAGTTAGATCGTTACTGGCCAGATCCGTACCAACCATAACAGGATCTAGTGAGGGATCTTTTTACTGAAATATAAAGATTAAGGCACTGAGCAGCCAAGATTATTAATCCAAAAAGCACTGTCTTTTTAGATGATCATGGCTGCTCAGTGCCTCAAAATACTGTCAAAGTAATGTAAATCCCTGAATACATCTGGACATGGTTGCTAAAGATGTTGCAAAAAAAATATTTTAAATAACTACAAAAAGGTGTGCTAAAAAGTGGAGCATTCCTTAATATTCAAAATATAGGTGAAAATAAAAACCACCCACCCAAACCTTACAATCATTTGCATGCATTGATATTTTGACCAGACTGTAGGCATTAAGTTATAGGCTTGATAGCTTCTACACAATAAAATGTATTTGCCTTCAATACTATTTATAGGTTAATGGAGCTTGTAGCAAAATGTATTAGGAGTAAAGCTGTACTTTTCTCCATACTAAATCTAGTCGTCTTGACCTGTCATATTGCACAATTGGAATTGCAATTTCCAAATCACCGGCTGTGAAAACCATAGCAAAGAAAGGAAAAAAAAAAAAAAAAAAAAAAAAAAAAAAAAAAAAAA